TGTGTGTGTGTGTGTGTGCAACCTGTGGCCGTCTCCACACTCGAACACGGGGCTCGGGGGACTCGAGAGATTTCGCCTCCATACTACTCGCGCTATTCTCCGGCGCTGGCACCGGGCCGTTCTGTTGCTCCACTTTCACGCCACAGCCAGCTTTGTTGAGGCTGCATTAGGATTAATCAACACCCAAACAATATGGCAAACGCTGTCAACTGGGTCAGGCGCTGTGCCACGATCAAATGAGGCTTTTCCCTCTTAAACCAATGAACTGTGCCCATAACCTGCAACAGGGGGATTAAAAGGCTTCCGTCGAAATAAGAAAAACAGACACGTGAATCCCCGCTGAAGCTCGGAGACGTCCTCTTCTTTGTGTCTAAACATGAAATCAGCTAAACCACTGTTCTTCTTTTTCTGATAAAACAACACGGGCTGGTTTGTCAGAAAATAAATCCAGTAAATGTGAAACACTTGTGCACCCACACAACCAAACACAACCGTCCACTGGAGGATGTGAACCCGTATCCAGCTTCAACAGAACGTCGGACTCCTGTGTGTAAATACGAAGCGGCTAAAAGCTGATTATCCTCCACCATTAGGCCTTCCACATACATTCTACATTAACGAAATAAACTGCTTAAAGTGTCTCAGCAAAAAGGCAAAAGCTTTTATGATTCACACAGGAAACGCCTCGACGCTGTGCGACCACACATCACCACCACCGACTCAGCTCCTCCGTCCGTCCTCTGCTGCTGAAGCCCGACATCGTGTCCATTAGGCGCTGGAGAAAACCGTGAAATCTATTGTGATTTAAAAAATAAATATATCACAGGAACTTTTACCAGAATAAGTATCTGTGGTGATGATTTAAATGCTCAGACTGATCAGCTGCCTCGTTGCCTCGTGTGGTGGCAAAAGATGCTGCCGATGGAGGCTGAGTTTGGTCGACATCGTCCTTCCTGGAGCTCCTATACGACTGATGCTGCTTTTTGTTCTGCAGCCAGATCTTCCTCTCCAGTGGTACCTTCTTGTTCATTTTGTTCTATCACACAGACTTCTCTCATACAAAACATTAACCACATGCGTTTCCATTTTGCATTAAGCAGCTAAAGCATGATGACTGTTGCACCTGAACACATCACGCAGCCCCAATGTTCACAGTAGAAACCTAAAGCTTTGGTTCACATTGTTTGCTAGAGACTGTCGTAGGGCAGAACCAGCGGCGCTGAAGTTTCACAGATCCATCCTCTGTCATTAGACGGCAGCCCTCATCCTCCATCTCATTATCTCTGACACTTATATCTATAAGAGGGTCACACGTTCTCACATCCGTGGACCGCTGTGAGCAGCAGCAGCTGAAGACGAGCTGAGGAGGGACGGTGTTCACATCCGTGTACCTACAGCAGGGTTCTGTGTAGAACCACCGTGAACTGGCTGTCGTCGGTCGGGACTGAACCAGCTGCAGCTCCGGTGAAGAGACTCGTTAAATTCCCAAACCCCATTTTTAATCCTGTGTGCTGGGTCTTAATACTCCAATCAAGCAGCATAAGGGCACTCAATTGGATTAGAGAAATAACCTGGTGGACAGGCGGGCGGGCGGGCAGCGGCCCAGCTGCTCTCACCTTGGAGAAAGGTCGCCGAGTTCTCACCCCATCAGGAGGTGACTTTCAAACAAAGGAAGGGGCTTTAATTAGAAAGCAGGCTTCAAAGTGACACAAGCATGTAGAGTCCAGGTCAGTAATATTTTCTAACAGTTTGAAGATATTCCAGAAACTGCACAACCTGACGAAGAGCTTTCCTCCTGAGGACACTGGAAGCAAACAAGTTCTCCTCAGAGCTAGCAGCATGGAAAAGCAAAGTACAGCTGATGATCATTTACCTGATGCTGTGCTAACCAGGACTTCTCATTTTCATCTGACATCTGATTTTCATCTATTAACAATCACTCCGACCTGATAAAGGTACTTTTCTATCAGCTTCATTTGATGAGAACTTCTCTCTCGTTTGCATCCATTCCTAAACATCTGACTTTGCTGATCGGTCTCACGGTTCGATGCACCAGGAGACGATTCACCGAAGCTAACCGGCTGCACTTTGCTTCACATCACACTGAACGCTGGGTTTTTACATCAACCAGAAGACTTGAGACTGAATCTGTAGAAACAGAACAACAGCAGCCACTGAGTGTGGAAATCACAGAACCAGGCGTCCTTGGAGGCTGCGTCTCAGACCCCACCTGGATCAACACATTATTCTTATTATACACTCAGTCTGAGGCTGATGATGCTTTCTAATCCACATGTTGCTGTCTACTGCTGAAACACCAAGTCACACTCCTGTATGTGAAAAACCTGCTCAGCAATCAAACCGCTCTGACTCTGAATGAAACGCTGTCTGGATTTGATCTCCAGCTGTGATTTTCATTTAAAGAAGCAACATGAAGGTTGGATGGTTCACATGCAGACATGCAGCAGAGGAGGCTGTTTGTATTGATTACACACGGTTTTGTCTTTCTTTCCTTTTTTTTTAGATTGACCAGAACATCTATTTCCAGGACGCTGCAGCTGAAGTTGTCGGGAAACACCACGTACGCAGGACTTCACCGATCTGACAGGCCGGGCTGCAGCCAGAGGTTCCCAAAGCCTCACATCCTGCCTCCTCGTCTCAGAACCAACATCAGCAGCAGCAGTGAAAGCAGGCTGCCACACAAACCGACTGCCAAAGGGCAAAGCGCTCATGTCACAAGACATTCAGGTTCCAGCTCCAGCAAACAGGCCTGGCTGCAGTCACACAAGCAGCGATGGCAGCAGGACGTTGCCAGGGAGAACTCAGCCTTTTTGTTGCTGTGTTTACCTGCACCAGTGCCTCTGTGTTGTGTTGGTCTGTGCAAGGTGACACGTCACCCACAACACGCCGGCGGGACACCGGCTCTGAGATGTGGCCCGGTTTCTCATTAGACCCACCTGATGGAGAGGACTTCTTTTGTAGCAGGCGAACAATTATCTAATCAGAGCCTCGGCTAACAGAAAACAGACCAGAACCAGGTAGTTCTACGGTGACAGGTGACACGGTTCTGCCAGTCACCCAACATAAATGTTTGACCAATGGGCTGAGAGTCCTCATCACTGATGAATGCATGGCCTGGACTGAGTTTCTGTTACCATGGAAACTTGAGATTTAGGGGAACAGAGGAGATGTGCGCATTTTCCAGTCATGAAGAAAAAAACCTCCCACCTGCAGCAGAGTGGGTTCAGCTGAGCAGAACCGGTGTCATTCTGGTCTAATGTTAAAGCAGGATCACCGCTTTAAAGGAACATTTAATGGGTGAAACCAACTCACTAAGCAGAACCGAACCAGGTCACCTGACAGCGTCCATCTGAACTGTTGGATCTGGAGGATGGAGGAAAGTTCAGCAGCTTTCAACCAAAATAAAAGCTTTTTTTGTTTTTTTTTTTAACTGTCAAGTCTGTACGTTTTTCTGTCACACATCATCTGCAGCAGGAAACAACATCATCCCGTCAACAACAACAACAACAACAACAACAACCACAGCAGCAGCAGCAGCAGCAGCAGAACGATCGTGGACAGAAGTTGCCCGTGAACGTGTCCTCCTCCCCGCTGACCTGCTGCCACTTCCTGCTCACCTGAACAAACGTCACATGAAAGCCACTTACTGAGTGTCTGGATTGTGGAAACATCATGTCAAGTCCTTGTCTGTTGCCTTCCTCTCCAAACGCGGTTAGCTGAGAGCCCGGTGTCGGTATGTTCCCCCTGCGTCGGTCCTTTGTCCACCGCTAGCCCAGCCTTCACAGGAGCTGTCCAGCGCTAGCAGGGCGACGAGCTAACGGTAGCTAGCGGACCCCCCCGCTCCCCCCCAACGCAAATTAAAAATTAAGCGGAAATTAAGTGATGTAGTTTAGCGAGAGGACGGAGTCGTTATCATTCGGCTGAGCCTGTCCCGACCCCCTGGATTCACTGTGTCCGCGGGCAGGAAACCACCATCAGCGCCGCGGCTCGTCTCCGGCTAAGCTAGCTAATTCTTCAAAAGCTGTCAGTCAAAATGATTCATCGCCGTCGCGAGCTTTCCGCCTGGAACGCGGCAGCGGCAGCGGCGCGGCGCCCGACGCATGTAAATTAATGAGACCGAGCGGCGCTGGGACGCGGCGAGCGGCGGCGGAGCGAACGCTTTCTTCTGTCGCCTTCGCAGCTTTTTTTTCTCTCTCTCTGTTTTCCTGCGACCACAGCGGCGTGGAGACAGAGAGAGAAAGTGAAGAAATAAAGCGGAACGGAAATAACAAAATGTCTGCGGGTTGGCTGCTTTAATCGCCTCCAAATTAGTCGCGCGAGTGCGAAAAAAAAAAAAAATCAGTGTTGCCGCTGAGACGGAAAAAAAAATAAATCAGAAATCAACTTGAAGCCGAAACGTTTCCGGCTGGAGTTGAACTCTCTGCGTTGATCCGGTGGACCGAGCGGCGCTGGGAGGCAGAGCGGGTTCGGCAGCGGGTTTGTGGATCCAGAAGTCAGTCCGTTCCTGGAGCTGGAGGTAGAGACGCTGCGACGCCCCACACAGAAGCAGAGCGGACAGAGCGCGGCCGGCAGGCGGATCTACGCGCCGCGGATCTAGAGCCGCGGCCGGCCCATGTCTGAGCAGAGAGCGCCCCGTGTGGACAGGTCGGGGAGTGCAGGACCGGAGTCACAGCAAGTTTACTTCTATTATTAATACAACACCTCAGCAGACTGTTCAAAGGGCTTTAAAGGAGAAAAAATATATAAAATATAGCAGAAACATAAGGAACAGATCAGACTGGTGGAAGAACCGAGTTATGGTGCAAGAAAGAAAAAAACAGATGATGCCAGTGGAATAAAAATAATAATAACATGAGGATAAATGCAGCGCCTAATGGAGAAGCTATAAGATAAAAGCATGAAATTACAAATAAATGAGCAAAAATAAGACTAGAATAGAGAAACACCCTGTGTAATATTATTATCATACAGATACTAGGACATACAGTGGTGTTGTTCTACTTACATAATATCTGTGAAATATACATAATAATCTGTGTAATATTAATACTTATGTCAATGTTTTAATTAGTGAAAGGACCTGAGCAACACCGCCAGCATGTGCAGTGATGTTATTTATACAGTTAGTCTGTACATCCTGGTTTATATTAAATATTACATTACATTACATTCATCCCGTGAACTGTCTTGATGCAGATTTCTCCACCGAGGGATTAATAAAGACTTATCTTATCTGAAAAAGTAAGACTGGCAGTGACTCTGAGGAACCAAAGTAACGTCACACAAGAAACCAAATAAAAGCTGAACTGTCTCAGATTTTAAGCTGACTTATTTCTTATTTAACTTTAAAGTTCTGTGAAATGTTTTGCGTGTTAGTTTTTGCATTTTCATCTTCCAAAAAACAAACAAACAAACAAACACAAATCTTACCTGCAAAGCCTTTTGTAGGGTTCAAAATCTCCAGAATTATAATTTGGTGAAGGCACAGATAAAAAAGTTTCAGCAGATCCATATTTTTTGAATTATTTGATCTTGAAAATGGGAGAAAAAGTGTAAAATCTTCAGACAGGGTTGGTTTTAGGTCCCCAGAAAGTTCCAGCTCGTGTATATACACAGATGGATCCATATTTCTTACTAAAATTACATTTTTTTTCTGTTTTGACACAATGGAACTAAAAAAAGTGGTGTTTACGGGGCTCTATATCATCCATATCAGGAGGTCAATGCTGCACTGAAATCAACAAAAGATGCACAAGAGTCAGCTGGTTTACATTTCATCTCTGCACCTTTGTCCTCACCAGGGTCATGGGGGGCGGAGCCTATCCCAGCTGACTCAGGGTGAAGGCAGGTTCACCTGGACAGGTAACCAGTCTATCACAGGGCTACACTTAGAGACAGACAACCAAGCACACTCACATTCACACCTACGGACAATTTACAATCACCAATTAACCTCAGCATGTTTCTGGACTGTGGGAGGAAGCCGGAGAACCCGGAGAGAACCCACGCTGCACGGGGAGAACATGGAGACTCCACGCAGGAAGATCCCGGGTGTCCTCACCGGGACGCCAACCAGCGACCTTCTAGCTGGGAGGCCACGGTGCTAACCACTGAGACACCTGCAGCCCCGCGGGACATCCACAGCTGTTGGAAATGATTTCTTAGACCAGTAACGGTGGAGCTGTGGACAAGAAAGTGCCCGACAAGGATCCTGAAGTCCAGCAGCCTGTTCTGGTCGTTCTCTTGTCACCTTTGGCATCAAGTCATTTAAATAAAGTCACATTTTAAAGTTTATTATCACTGATCAAAGGAGTGTCTGAAGATGAAGATGAAGATAAACTTTATTAATCCCACAGTAGGGAAGCCCACTGTTACAACAGCTCAGACTGGTCAGAGGTCAAGACTTTGTCTTAGAAACTTTTTGTGCTTAATTTGAACCTTTTCTCACCATAATAATAGAATTTTCTGTTTTTTCTCCAAGTCACAGAATCAAACCGTCTGCATGCTGCGTGACACTAAAGTCTGTTAACACGACAAAGAAATTTTACTGAGTTCTTTATTATATGTTTCAGTCACATCTGTGTGGTCTTCGCTGTGATTTCAGAAACTGTGAGGACATCAGGAAGTTTTGACGAGCCAGAAAAAAGAAAAAAAGTGTTCACGTCGCTGTTTAGCTGCAAGTTTCTGAGAGTTTCTTTGTGCTTCATGGGCTAAAAATGGCAAATCCGGCAGAGAATACAAAAAAACCTTTTATTTTGATTTATTTAAGCCACATTATAAGATTAAAATGTTCTTTATTGTGTATAACTGCAGAATTTAAACCTTTCTCGTCATTAAAGCCACTAAACAGATACGACCACAGACGACCTTCTGGTTGGTATTGGCCACGGTGCTGCGGTTCTGGATGGTTCTCCAGGACAAAGTCTGCAGTTCTGTGTGACGCTCGCTGCTGCAGAGTGGAAGTTCTTCCTTCATCAAATAATAACGTCATCCTGTTGGTTGAGGATCGTTTCACGTCAGCGATGACTCACGTCCTCTTATCGGGAGGAAACCGTCGGACTGCAGGGAGGCCGACCAGCTCATCACCTGGAGGACCACACCTGCATCTCTGCTTGTTTTAGGCCCGTTTACATCACAAGTGTGTTCGTGTCCTTCATGCAGCTGCTGGGAAACACGAGATCATCATAAGACATGAAGGAACAGTCTGAGGGAAACGTGGCAGCGGTTCAGCCTGAATCACAGCGTGTGAGCAAACGGTTCTGGAGGAAAACGTACAAGGAAGCGAGAAGAGAGTATAGGAACATATTTTATTCCAATTTAAAACATTTAAAGGAGAAGGCTATGTAAAAATCATTTTCATGTTTGAATGAGGTTCAGGCAACAGTGGTTGAAATGAAACATACAAAAAGAGAAATATGGCTAAAATACTGTAAATCAATAACCATTAGGACCCTGTTCTGGAGGGCGTTGCATGAATAGAGAATCTCACCCACCCGCTCCCTCCCCGACCCGCCGACCCGCCGACCCACCGACCCACCGACAAACACATGCAAGTAAAATGACACTTATCTTAAAAACAGCAGTTCATCATTAATCTTAAATATAGAATAAAATTGTCCTTTTTTTTTCTTCTTGTTAATTAATCACATACTTAGTGTTTTGTTTTTAAAAACTGGACCATGAAATTCACAGGCCCTCTTGATTTTTCACAACATTGGCACTTGTTAAAGAGTCTGGCTTTACAAAGAAAGGGGATTGGCACACTCATTGTACAGAATTTACATTTGGTATACTTAAAAAAAAAAAGAAAACAGAAAAAAGAAAAGAAGAAGAAGAAGAGAATCAAACAAAAATACATTACTTTCAATTTGTACACCACTACACAAAGTTTATTTCAACTCTTTAAAAAAAGAAAAAAACAAAACGTCTGTCATCTTAAGTGGTCCTAAATACACGAGTGAAGGTGTGTCAACCTTTACAAAAGAAAACAAGATGCAAAGATAGCTTTTAATATCACTGTTCGTCCATCCTGTCGGACCAGAACGGACCTCAAGCTTAAGCGAAAAAACCGTCAAAGTGTACACACACACACACACACACCTGCACACACACACACACACTCACTCACACACACACACACCTCAGAGTACCAACGCTTGAATGGACGTCTAGAGTTGCATGAACGCAGGCCCATCGCAGTGCTGCAGTTTCAGTGCCTTCGACCCGGGACAGAACACAGAGTCCGATCAGAGAAAGCAGGAAAAGAAGAAGAAGAAGAGAAAAAGGGAAACACGTTCACTCATCCGTCCACTCGCTCGCTGCTCAATACGATTTCAGTACCTTCACTTGGCAAGTGTTTCAGCAGAGAGACGTTAATACTGAGGCTTAACGCGCAGCTTTGTTAACGTGTGAACCGGAGATCTGGGTCGAGCTCGTTTCTCATGTGGTTTCTGCTGATTGGACCTGCTTGGCACAGTGTCTTGTACTGGATTGTCGTTGGGATCAAGGATTTTAGGTGAGTGACCCGCCGGCGGTGCAGCCGTGTGACTTCTAGTGTCGGCTCTGACGAGAAAAGGTGCAAAACAAACTTTATGTGGACTGCACCGCCACGCCTCTGGACAGGACACCTTCATGCTAGTTCTGACCCTCACAGAAGCCCGACTGAGCTCGAGGTCAGTGGCCAATCAGGAAAAACGTCGCCGTGAGATCTGAGCAGAGAAGCTGAAGTTAGAGCTTCCATCCACATGATTAGTGAGAAGCATCGCGCGGGACAAACAGGAAAGGCCTTTAAACGGCGCTCAAGCACCGAAACATGAAGCTTTTACCAACAAACGCTGGAAAAACGAGATCACAGCCAGAAGTCAGAGCTCTGCGATGTCGTCTCAGCTCGTGACTACTTGGCTTTAACACACGTCCTTCACTAAGCGTTTCATGACTCGTGCTGGGCGACGAGATCAAGGCCAAGCGCTGCACAGGGCGAGCAGCAGATCAGAAAAACCACGAGAGCTTTTGCCGTTTACACTATTTGGCAAATTTCAAATCCAGAGAAAGGACCTGCAGCAACTTCAACGTTAACGTCCCAACAGCCGACCGCGGGAACGCAAGAGCAGGATGTACGAAAGCACAAAGTGAGGACTAGAAGGTAAGAGGAGCAACAACAGGGCGGTTAAGGTGCGACCAGCTGGGACACTGAAGACGTGCTGTTGCACCTCCTCCTCTGAACAGGAGCCATTCTCCTCCTCTGAAGGCAACAAGATGGAGAGCCAAGCAGCCGCCAGGACTTCCTGTAGGAATGTCATGTAGGCCTCTGCCCCCACACAGCAGACACCAGCTCCATCACTAGAACATGCAACAGGACACTCCTGATCCAACCCCCGACCCCATTCATTAACTCATTAATTGCACCTTTTGCTCCATCCCGTCCAGAGTCCTGCCGTTTCTACCAAAGCTGCTAGGAGTAGCCCTTGTGATGAGAAAGTTATGAAAACTTATCTGAATTACATCGTGAAGACAAAACAAAGCCGACCTACAGCAGCTCTCAGCTCTTAATGGAAAATCCAAACAGCCAATCAGGCGAGACGCGCGATCCGATATGGGATTGGTACCGAGAGCCATGTCAACCTCAAAAATCACACACGCAAAAAAAAAATAAAAAGCAAGCATCCTGCAACCACGTGTTTTAGTTTTTTTCCTATTTGCATAAAGCACAAACCCTGACGCGGCGTTTTTCTGCCCCACAGCGTTTTCAAAACCAGAACGGCAACAACTAAACCTATGAAGTATCGTTACAAAGATAGAACACGTGTCCATAAAATAGTTTTGATATTTTACAGCAGTATAAAATCTCCTCCTCCGAGGTTGGAAAAACGTTTGAGCTGAAACAGGAGGAGGTTTGGTTCTACTGGATCAACAACACGCAGATCGGATCGATAAATTAGAAATACAACAAAACAAACGAGCTCGTTACCGTCCGGCTGTCTGTGACGGTTTAATGAGGACGACGGTGACCGACTAAGTGGCAAAAGCTTTGATCCACCTGCAGCTGACCGGACCGACCCGGTACCATCACTCACCACCACCAACGGAAACTAAAGAAGCAGAAATCACAGCACGGCTACGTGTGACTGGACATGAAGAAATGCCGTCCACATCTGGATGATCCAGCCGGAGAGGAAAGTGAATTTTGGCAACACCGATTCCCAAATATGTGTTCTGAGCGTCCAGGTAACGATGATACTGGCAACAGAATCTGTATTTACAGGATAAACACGGTGGGGGGTTAATTTGGCAAATGTGGTGCAGAAACTTAGAGGGCAGCTGATGGACGCGAGTGTTTCTATTGTTTAGTGTGTGAAGTAGAGTCTGACTGAAGGGCTCGTTTGAGTTTAATTAGCGAACGACAGGCGTAAAAACAGAACCAAGACGCAGCTGAAAACACCAACAGAGATCATCTCTGCGTTGCCCTCACTCAGCGTGAGCAGCACGGACACTCTATGTACATTCAGCAGAGCTTCTGGGGCTCTGATCCGGGGCAGGATTAACAAAAAAGACCAAGAGGGGGACCAGGTACCTCACTGCAGCCCAGCATCGCCCCATTACAGGTTTCATAATTAGTGACCCTTTGCAGAGGAGCAGTCTGCAGCCCTCCTGCTGGAGTGTGAAGCGTGCACGGGTTAGACCAGAACGGAGAGAACCCTGTGTCTCACAGCTCAGTCTGCCCGGAGAAGGAGCTCCAGCGCCCTCCAACACACCAGCAGTGGTAATGTAGTGTAACTAAAGGAGGAGGAGACCCAGAGGGAGGAGGACCGGAGGAGGGAGGAGGACCAGAGGGAGGAGGACCGGGACCAGAGGAGGGAGGAGGACCGGAGGAGGGAGGAGGACCAGAGGGAGGAGGACCAGAGGAGGGAGGAGGACCAGAAGAGGGAGGAGGACCAGAGGAGGGAGGAGGACCAGAAGAGGGAGGAGGACCGGAGGAGGGAGCGGTAGATGTGTGACTGTGCACTGAGCGATTACTGAAACCACAAAACGGACTTTTTTGTTTTTTAAAAATCGGGAAAACCAACAACGGAGGATCTGAGCGGACAGAAGGTGGTAGAGCATGAAGAGTGTTGGTCAGTGTGTGTGTGTGTGTGTGTGTGTGTGTGTGTGTGTGTGTGTGTGTGTGCGGGGGCTGCAGGTGTCTTTGCGTGCTTCCTCGTTCCCCGTCCCGTCCCGTTCTCCTCACACCAGGTTGTATTCTTTGAGGTTGAGCTGCAGGATGGTGTCTTTGACGGCGGCGAAGACGAAGCGGATGTTCTCCGTGTCTGTGGCGCACGTGAAGTGGGAGTAGATGATCTTGTCACTGTCTGGGTTCAAGTCCACAAACATCTTCAAGATGAACTCGCGACCCGCCTGGGCGTCCCGCTGGGGACCTGGGAACAGGACACAGCGCTTTGGTTAGAACCTCTGAACCCAGAAAACTGGGCAGCAGGCGTGAAAGGCAGAAACACAAAGACGACACCATTCATCAGAAACACAAACTGAACTGAACTGTGACTTTAAAAATCAAGATTTTCAAATCAACATCAGTTTATTCTTTATGTCTCTTTGAGAGAAAAAACATCTGCATTAACTAGATTCTGCAAAATTAAAACAAAACCTCTGCACAACTTTGCACAACTGAGAAGTTTTTATAGATTCATGATAATAATAAATAAATAAAATCATTTGACAAAAGCTCAGATGCTTCTCGGCTGACCTGCAGGCTGTTAAGGATGAAAACAAACTAAAAATATCAGTAATAAAATAAATATCGTGCGTAAAGCTGCTGGTTTTTCCAGTGTTTGTGACACCGGTGGAGCTGATTCCAGGTTCTCTTCCACTTTAGTTTGTTCTTTTTGATGATTTATAGCATCACATGACACGTTTCTCTCCAGACTTTATCCTGCAGTGAACAATGAGCCCACAGTGAGTTAAAGCTGTGACGATGAACAGCTGGTGGTCCAGAGGGTCCAGTTCTGCTCCCTCAGTGATCGGTATCGTGATTCAATCCAGGATTCAGAGCGGTCAGTGTAAGTTCACTATAACATATCATTTTGGTCGGTACATACCGTTCACCATGTGACTGTGATGAGAGAGATAAGTGGGCATCACTTAATTCAATAAGCACCAGCGTCTGTCTGAGTTGTAGTGCAGCATTACAACCACAAGGTGTCGCTCTACAGTAAAAAATACACTTCAAGTGAAAGGTTCTGAGATAAACTCACACCTGAAGGGAGAAACACTGACACTCAGGAAGCATCCAGGTTGATTTTACATTTAAATAAAAGTTGTTGAGCAGCGACTGAAGCAGTAAAACTGAGTCCAGCTCTCAGGGACCAGCAGACGATACGACGCTTTCATTAAGAACTCAGTAAAATTACCGTCAAACTCTGGGAAGTAGTCAACCAGGTGAGAGTACATGATCTTCTCCTCCAGCAGGTCCTTCTTGTTGAGGAACAGGATGACCGAGGAGTTCTGGAACCAGGGATATGTGATGATGGTCCTGAACAGAGCTTTACTCTCCTCCATGCGGTTCTGCCGAGGACCGGGACGGACGGGAACACGAGAGGAGAAAAAGAAAAAACATCAGGCTGGGATGGATGCAGGAGAGAAAACTTTTCATATTATACTCAAACTCCCTCGACACCGTCCACCATGAATAGACGGGTTTGATCAGAACAGACAGAGTTTATGAGCCTAGCGTGCTGCTGCTAGCATGTATGCTACCGTCTCCTGTTAGATGGTCGACAACCTGAACAGGGAACCAGCTGAAGGGCTTCTTCTGACACTAAACATCACCTTCCTGCAGCAGCGGACTGAAGCTGAATGATAACATATCTGTGATAAATATTCCTCTATGGGTCATAATGTTGGTGGAAATAACAAAAACAAAAATGATCAGATGTTTGTGCAGAACCAGAACCAGGCTGTTCCTTCACATCTGGACCATATGACTCGCTGTGCTTTATTTCTAATGCCGTGTTTATTGTGACACATTAAACTTTATTGAAAGAAGCTGCAGCTGCACGTCGCCACAGTGTAATATTGGTAATAATCAATATTCAGCCCTGAGCTGGACGGCATCATGACGGGACAGATTACTAATTAACCAAAGACGAGCCACCTTAAACCTCCTCCGTCATGCTAATTAATTAAGCTTTAGTTCTTCAAACTAAACTGTAAATAAAAAGGGCAGCGAGGTCACAGAGCGCATACTTGGTCTTTTTTCTGTAACTACGTATTAGAGCTGCCCTCACAGAGAACATCCTGTTCACGGCGTATGCGACACATAGAATTAGACATACTACTGAGTGGATCATGTGCCTTCCTCACTCCGTCTGAATGAACAGACCAGCAGCTGGAAAACTCCGACCAGACGTAGCGGGACATCCTGCTAGTTTCTGCCACACTACATCTGACATAGTTAAAATATATATATATATGTTTTAGCAGCTTTTAACTGTAATGTTTTGAATGCTGATGCCCAGATGTGCCCTGATTGGTTAGAATATAGATAATAATCAGTAAAATCACACCAAGCTGCATTAATTTATATGCTAGTGCTAATAAAAATATCATCGTTTTACAGAAATGTTTCCATTATTTGACAGATAAATTACACACATTAAAGACTGAATGATGCTAAATCATTTTTAGTTGTTATTTTGTAGATTTTTGTCTGTTTTGGTTCATTATAGTTACTTAATAATGTCTTAATGTACATGTTGACTGTAAAACAGGCCAAAACTGGACCTAATGTTTAACAATCTGTATTCAAACTAATTTGCTCTTTTTAAAATCCTAGAATGACTCATTATTGTGGCATCACTGTGGTTTTTCAGGCACCTTGCTGAGTCTGTTTCGTAGCGCTACGTGCAGTGGGAGATGCTGAATCTCTTCCTGGTAGTGTGAGTGTTGGACGCAGCCGTTCTCATCTAAACCAATTAAGGCTGAAAGCTGCTATCAAATGTCTTCTTCCTCTTTCTGGTCTGATCTCCTCGCCAGCGTCTCTCCCAGTTTAGTCTCAGTGAGTGATAATGTGATCCTGGCCAGACGTGACCCGATGAAATCAAAGATGTTTGAGAACAATCCCGTCAAGCTCTGCTCCGCCTCGAGGGTCAGAGTCTCAGTCCTGATCCTGTCATCACAACAGGATGATCTCTGAAGCCTGAATTCTGCTCGGCTCCGTCTCAGCCGCTAACAGCACTGAAGCTGGCTGCTGTGGCCTCCCAGCTGCTAACATCTGCACAGTACAAGCAGGACGAGCAACCTGCAGAAAGCCCCATGGCCTGGTCTGTCCAGTGAGCAGCACACCTGAGCATTAACACTGTGAGTGCTGCCGGAGAGGACGGGCGTTCATCCTGAGGAGAACTCACCAGATGCAGCGAGTCGGGCTGGCAGCTGGCTCTGGTTTATGAAACCCAGTCGTCATATGACCCGGTCAGAGAAAGGGTTTGTTGTCAGACAGCAGCAGAGGGCATGCAGGGGCTGATCACATTAGCTTTATTAGCGATAATTCTATCTGAACAGTCAGAGGAGCCGAAGCCAACGACGTGGACTAAATATCTCTGCAGTAAACACACTGAAGACCTGAAGCCTACTCACAGTGAGAGATCTGGTAATAACCAGCAGTCTCTAGTGCATACGGGGCTAGCCTGTTCTTTATAATGCATATGAAGGTCTTTAGGCGGCTGGTTTACGGCTGCTGTTGGAAACAAAGCTGGTAAGAGCAGCGAGCGTGAACCAAACCAGTTATGAAACTAAAGCAACGAGCAGGCAGACGTCACGACGCTCTGCAGAGCAGGAGGGAGCTTCATGGTGCTCTGGTCTGAGCCACGCCTTCACGTCACACGTAGTCGTAAAGAAAACGTGAAAACAACAGTAAAATAATAACAGCCTGTGTCCAGATAAAGCATGAAGCAGCTACTGTACATGTTTACTTCACTTTAACGTTATCCTGACGTGGATGTGGCGTTTCAGCTTCTTTCATTGTTTTACTGGTGTTGTGTTGATTTAATTTGAAAATCTTTCACCATCTTTAACTCAGTTTCTCCTCCTTTACCTCCCTGGTCTGCTATCTAATGCTCTTCCTGAGGATCCTTCTTTTCTGTTTTGCTCTGCTAAAAGCTGCTGTGTAAGTAAACCTATCATTACTATTACCTATTAGTAATAACATGTGGAGATCCTGTAAACTATGACGCTACTTCTCTGATGTGCTGGAGTTTGCTCAGAGATCTCCGTGTCATACGTGTTCATAGCTACGTATCCATGTGCACCGTTACCCTCCTCGTGCTGCACAGTGTTTCAGATGCATGTGAAGGAGTCTGTGTCGACTCTTATGGACGATGGAGGATAATAAAACGTACGTCCACACTGGCCTTACTTCTTTAGCCGAGGAGCACGTCGACAACTTCAACAACAACAAATAATCTATTCTTCCTAACAGCAGGATGGGAGAAGACGTTTACAAGCAAAAGTATTTTATTTATATATAAAGTGTACTAGGTTTTGTATAATCCCTGCTGCAAACTGTATTTATGCATTAATTATGTATTAATTAATTATGTGACTATTTCAACTTTCAATCTGTTCAGACAGCACAAATATAATAAAAACCTCTAATAAAGTTATAAATGCTGAATAACGTCACAGCTGTGTTGTTATCGGCACCTGACGCTAGTTTAGTTTCAGCTTTTTGATGAAAATGTGTTTTGGTCAGATTTGAGTCCCTGTTATCAGCTTTAGTGAACAATCCCTACAAACATGTTCGTCTAATTTCTGTCATGCTCACCTAGCACTAGCATTAGCATTAGCACTAGCACGAGCACTAGCACAGCTCCCTGATCTCTCCTCGACAGAGCGTCTTTCAGGAGATGATTCACTCCTCTCTGGTTTCAGACACTAGATGTGTAGACAACATGAACACATCCCTCCGTCTGTGTTTCTTTAGTGAACGTCTGGAAGCTGAAGCGGTTCAGACGGAGCATCATCACTATTGCTAGAACTTTCCTTCTGATGGCCAAGTGAAGGATAAACGTTTGCAGCCAAACGCATGCTGCTGCTGCTGCTGCTGCTGCTTCTCTTTATCATCATGAGCTTAGTTCATACATATGTTTCTTCCCAGAAGCAGCAAAGTCTGATAATATCACGGCCATAACGGTTGGTGGATGTAAAGACGAGCTTCTTATGAAGTGCAACAAGTCAGACGGAAACTTTTAGAGATCAAGAGAACTTCTGGATGGAGGAGGAAACTTTAGCGGACAGCATGTGGATCCACAGACGCTGCAGGTTGAAGACTTTCATTGATAAGTTATTGGTTCAATGCAGTGAGCGCAGCGTCGTCACTGCTGTTGTTCTGTTGTGTATAAAACTAAAGATTGATGCTACCTTTGCTGAGTTATGAAACGCTCTTTAGTTGCACATGTGCTCTTAAATGTTTCTGGAGTTTTACATTCATCTAGTTTTAGGTGCAAATGAAAGTAAACGAGGAGGTTTTATTCCAGCGCAAACTGAAAACAATGACATGCATGCTGCACCTTTAAGGAGCTTCATCTAAAACTAATCTTTCTCTATAACTAAATGCGAAGTTCCCGTCCGTCTCACCTCGTTGTCGGACTCCACCAGGACCTGGTCGTACTCGCTGAGCGCCACCAGGAACATGATGGAGGTGACGTTCTCGAAGCAGTGGATCCACTTCCTCCTCTCTGACCTCTGACCCCCGACATCCACCATCCTGTCGGAGCACAGCGAGCCGGAGAATCACACCAAGAGAGAAGAAGTGAGAGTTAGAGCCTGGTCAGCCTCTTCAGAGTCTGCTGGTTGTGAACGGTTAGTCACTAGAAGCTGAGCGAGGCGTGCATTTTAATCACAACCTCAAAGACTTAACTTGTATTAAATCTTTGCAGCTACTTTGAGTTTGGATCAGATGAAACTAACCACAGAAAGCACACACATGGCTCCATTTAATTACATGCATTACATTAAGTTAATTAGAATTTCATAACCGAGCAACAAAAGAGAAATCCTGGAGTGGCTCGGTCGAGAACAAGCAGAGGATCCGGGTCACACAAGGACAGAAACGTGACTTTAGAACAAGAACAACTAGCAGTGCGAAGAGGCGTTCGACTTGTCGGCTTAGTTTGTCATTTTCAGTGATGCTGAGCTTTGTGTCCAGCGGAGGCCATTCAGTCATCATCAGTACGTGATCTCTACCGAGGCTGGAGCAGAACACCTCGTCTGCACTGTTAGTATGAACAGAAGAAACAGGACATGAGCATCTGCAGCGTGAGCAACAGTGAGGACAGAGCAAGCCTTCCCCAAGGTGCACCACAACAACCAAGAGGAAGCCTCTCCATGCAGGAGAGTCCATGCAGGAGAGAACATCTCTGCTTAGAGGTGAATATAAAGTGATAAATGTGACGGATAGAAGAGAGGAAACAGGGAGGACGGAAGAGAACATGAAGGATGACTGAAAGAACAAAAAGAGAAAGAAAAGATGGAACACAAACGAATTAGAAGTTCAGGAAGAAGTGCAGGAAAATGGAAATAAGTGAGTGCAAAGCATGAGTCTGGACTCTGAGGCAGGAGACCTGGATCGTGGATCAACAGTCTTCCTTTTTATTTCCCTTTATTTTAATGCATAACTTTATTACTTTTCTCCTCAAATTAATAGAAACTAAACAGACTGAGAGACTTCTGCTGCTGGATAACAAAGGCAGAGGTCCGTTTAGCTCAGACCAGTGAACCTCTGCAGAAGGTACAATCTGACTGGAGTTAAACTGACGGTACTCATCAGTTCTGTGGTCCCAAGGCGAAGCTCCTCGGACAGTTTCAGCTGATACTCAATACCACTTGACAGCTACACGGTGAAACTTTGATCAGACTAAGGTGAACTCAGAGTCTGCCAGAAGAAGGGACGGCATTGATAAATGGAGTCCTCCAGAAGCCAGCCCAAAATAAAACTCCTTCACATCAGACGACCTCCTTTTTTTCCTCTAGCAAGGATGAGTGACCTACTTAGCTCCATAAGCTCTCCTATGCTGGATAAACCAAGTGAAATGACATTTCCTGTGACTTCAAAAGCCAATTAAAGGAGAGGGAAGCAAACCTAATGGAGATGTTTGTCTATGAAAGGCTTCCTTGTTGCAGCTCCAGCCTGTCAACTGCATGCAGGAGCAGCACAGGCCCACATGTGACTGTTACTATCCACATATCAGCTGGGGAGCTCCTCGTCCTGCATCAAGTGTGCTCCACGTTTAATTACAGGAATGTGATAACACATTCTCATAAATCACTAAATGAAGACACTTCAATTATCACACTCTCCTGCCATTAAAACCGGACACAGCGCATTCACCGCCACTTCATATTTATCTTTTCAGTCTCTTAGCACAGAACTGATGTCACTGAGAGCATGCAGTGATTCACCATCAGCAGCACAAGTAGCGTGGAGCCTCTCGGCTAGCTGCAGCAGAGCTGCTGGGAACCTCTTCAACACAGCCTCATTGCAAGCAGAGTTATTTCTAGCCTTGCCAAGCGTAGGAGGGGGCTGACATGATGGCTTCCTATCGATTTGCACTCTTCTGTAATCGCTCTTGTTCCCTGGGTCCATCTCTATCTCCTCATCTGTTTTCAAGAGATGGAGGGAGGGAGGGAGGGAAGCTGCTCTATGCTGTGGTGGCTGCTCCTAAGAC